GGTGGTGGGGGCTGGGGCAGGGATGGAGAGAAGCGGGCAGACTCAGAAATGCGTAGAAGGAAAAATTGATGTCCTTGGGAAACAAAGTATGAATGTGGAGGTACAAGGCTCCTGGTATGTGTAACAGCACAGAGGGAGGCTCCACTCCCTGAGAAGTTAGCACTGGAAGGGCCAGCCTGGGGGGAATGTGGTTCTGGACATGTTGAGACAGCTAAGTGAAACAGCCAAGTGAGCAGTTGGACACGAGGGTCTGGGCTGGAGGTACAGTGTGTGAGTCAACTACAGATGGGAGAGAACTAAAACCATGGGTGTGGGTGAGACTGCCTGGGGAGACAGGCTAACATGGGAAGAGATGAGGCCCTAGGAACTTCAAGGTAGCTGACCAGGAAGATGAGCCCTCAATTCACTTATTACAAGGTACAGTTCCCAACTTGTTTGATTGTTTACCTGTTTACTGCTATCTTCCCCAGAAGACTAAAAGCTCTGCAGAGCAAGAATTGCCTCTCTTTTTACTGAGCCATGTATCTGCCATGTGCCTAACACAGGGCCTGGCCTGGAGCAGTCCCAGGCACTACACTGCAGAGCTGCTGTGTCCCCTGGCAGGGCTGGCCTCATCTCCTCGGGCAACGTAACTGTTGCCACTGGTTCTGACTGTCCAGTCAAAAGCTCATTGACATTCAGGGCCCTTCAAGTCTTGCTGCACGTCCTTAGCTCTCCAGTCCGTCCTTTTAATTCCCCTTCACCTGAGCTTGCCAAACTGGGGTGCAGCTATACCTAGGTAACCAGGGTAGCACAAAACAGGATGAGCTCAGTGGCTCTCCCAGGAGCTCAGATTGTGCCAAAAGCAATGGAAGTACCCCTTGGACATGGACCTCCAGGCCCTCTCTCTTCCCTGAGATGTGTCCCCTCCTACAGGTTTCTGTGGCCATGTTTACCCTGCCTGATTCTATCCCTCCACGACCTCTGCTGATGAAACCAGGGGTGGAGACCCAGCTTCTGGAATCAATCCAGAAACTGAGCTGGGCCCCCAAATTCTCTGTCAGGAACTTGGAAGTGGGGCACAAGACTGGCTGGGTTACCTTTAGATGCTGGACAGATGAGGTCACGTGAATATGGGGGCTGAAGCTGCGTTCTGGGCTTGGGTGATGACAAGTGAGGAAAAGCACAGCTCAATATACAGAAAGAAACAGGGGCGAGAATGATGAAGCAGCTGCCTTTGTTCCTGACAACTTCCCTGCCTCAAGTGAGGCCCTATCGAGGTCTTACTTACGACCCTTCAATTCCATGAGGCACCCCGAATTCCTTAAAATAGATATCCCTGCAGCGTAAATAAGCTTATGTTTCTTATAAACAATCTCCATGAGGATATCATTTTTATTATTTTTTGTAAAATGAAAATTTTACTATTTTTGGTAAAGGGATTAGACACAGAACCAAGCAGAATGTAAAATTCACAAGAATATTAAGAATAAATCCAAGATTCAAAAAGGCTGAAGTCACAAAGGAAAAGATAAATTTGACACTGATAAAATGTCAAACTATGCATTACAAAACATGACACCAATTCAGGTAAACATTCCCTCCTAACCGCTACTCCCTCAGCAATAATGTATTTTCCCTAAGGACATACACTGGGAAGCACACACATTTCCACAGCATTTACCTCTGGGGAGAGTATAGGGATTGAAAAGTCATCACTTTAGCCTTTTCTGTTATGTCTTTTAAATTTTTTTTAAAGATTTATTTATTTATGCATGCAAAAGCTGGGGTACAGGCCAGAGATGTGGGGGGTGAGAGGATTCACCAGAAACAGAGTGGGGAACAAAACAGGCAGACTGACTGAAATACACTGCTGAGGGGAGCAGCAGGCAAGACGGAAAGAGCTCTGCTTTGCCATGTGGGTTGCTCCCTGGCCGGCTGGGTAGTGAACTCTTGCTGCAGGGGCTGCGGATTGCTTCGTAGTGCAGTGCTTAACCTCTTGCATCACCAGGGAGTCCCCATGTCTTTCAAATTTTTAATTAAAAATTATGCCCTTTGTGCAATTAACATGGCACTAAATCAATCTTTCTCTCCACACACACACACACACACACACACACGTCTTTGAAGATCCCCTATTTGTGGCAGACAGCTTTATCTAAGACCCACTGGTAACTGAGATGTACAGTATCCCATGAATTCTCAGCACTGGTCAAAATGGCTTACTTTGTTCCTGAATATGCTAGGCTCTCTTCCCTCCAATTCTCCAAATTCATCTACTAGTACTTTCTGATTTGTGGAGCTTTCCATCCTTAAGACCCATCTGAAGGTGTCACCTTCTCCAGGAAGCTCTCCCTGACTGCACCATCCTTACTGTTCTCTCTTCCCTGCTCCACCAGCCTCTATGGGCACTCAGGACAGACTCCTGGAGTTCCTACTTATCTCCCTGAGAATGGCTGCATCTTCCCAACCAGCCAGCAAACCAGAGCAGTATCTTTGTCTTTGGTGCCTAGCACAGAGATGGCATGGAGAACTGAGCAAAGAACAGGGCCTCCCCGGTGGCGCAGCGCGTTGAGTGCAGCACTGTGAAGCTGTCCACAGCCTCTGCAGCGCAGGTTCGATTGCCAGCCAGCCAGGGAGATACCCAGATTGTGCGGCAGACCTCTCCTGACTCGCCCACTGCTCCCCTCAGTGCAGCTTTCAGTCCGTCTGCCTGTTCTGCTCCCAGCTCTGTCTCTGGTGAATCCTCTCACCCTCCCGCACCTCTGGCCTGTACCCCAGCTCTTGTAAATAAATAAATCTTAAAAAAGAAACAACAACTGAACAGAGAACATCCTTGAGTCACACAGACCCAAGTGGGACCTAGGCAACCCATTTTCACCCCTGTTACTGTGAGTATCACTGAGATGATGGATGTAAGGGTGGGGGCCCAGGACAGGAAGAAGGAGGGTCACAGAATATTATACTCATTAATATTCCCTGACATTTGCAGTTTCACAATTAAAATGAAAAAAAAAAAAAAAAAAAAAAAAGCAGGGAGTACCTGGTGAAAGGGAATGCCAGCATCAAACTACGGGTAAATATAAACATGAATGCAAACCAAACAGGGACCTCAGGAAAGTCCAATCCAAAGGTCAGATTCTAACTTTTTGGGCAATGAAATGCTAAAGAGAGACACTGTATTTGGGTGCCACAAGCTTTTCAGTTGCAAAAATGAACACTTACGTGCAAAAAAAACGAAGTCCCAGAGGCAATGGAGGCTAGGTTTTGTCAGATTTGAATTACAGCAAAGCTGTGCCCTCACCAGGGCCTGCTGTGGTCTCCAGACCCATTCCAAGGGTCCCCCACTTACCCCTCCCCCGGAACACACAAGTGAGCCACAAAGGCCAGATGCAAGGGCATAAACAGGCATTTCTGTCCCTGGACAAGAGTTCAGAGTGCAGCCCCTTCTGCTGTTCTTGCTTTGATTTAACATTTTAATGAACAACCCAGAGAAGAGGGTGAACTGTGAAAGCCCTAAGGATGCCCACGACGGTACTGAGCTCTTTTAGGTCAAGTAACGCAAGTCTATGAAGACAAACTTGAGGAAGCACTCTCCTCAGGATAAGGCTGTGCGATCTCCCAGTTAGATATCCACATTCACAGGCAGTGAATTCCAAGCTGCCAAGAAAGGAGGCCAAAGTACTGACGACTTCTTAATGTCACTAAAACACATACCCCTATTATGAGCAAAACACTAGGTTGAGCTCTATAAGAGAACTGAGGACCAATCACTGCCGAAAGAGCTGTCAATTAACCGGATAATCATTCCCTTTATCAGGAGGCATGCTTTACACACACTGACTCATGTAACACCATGCCCTGTCAGGTAAACATCGCTACCCCCATTTTATAGATGCCGAAAATGGAGCTTATGCAGATCAGGGCACCCAAGTTCACATACTGGCAAATTACAAGTCCAGAATTTGAACACAGGCCGGCCTTCCCCAAAGTCAATCTTCTTTCCACAATTTTGTATCATCCTTACAAAGTGATACACAGAGTTGGAGGGTGTAAGTTCAGAGAGGAGGACAGACTGTCCAAGACACTGATCAGCCAAGGGTATTATGAACTATTGAGCTTTGTGTCTCCCACACTGTCGCTACTCAACACTCTTAGGAAGATTGGAAGGCAACAGTCCCTTCTGGGTCCAGAATGCCCCAATTCAGGGGCCCCAGTTCAGTGGGGCCCAGTTCAGGGAATCTTCTGAAAGGAAGTTGCAAAAGCACTTTATTATCCCCTGGCCCAAAGTACTGGAGTGTCTGTCCCAGAATATTCCCTGAAGAGGAGGCTTGGGAAAGCACAGAAGGTCTGGGGAGAGGAATGAACTCCAATGAGCAGGGGAATGGGGTGGGGCAGCCTGCTAGGGCGAAAGAAAAGGCCTGGGACGCTTTGCAGAGAAAGACAAAGAGGAGAGGGGAGGGGGGAAGCCTCTAAACTTGCCAACAGCCTGGCCAAGGTGAACCTCACTCCTGGCTCCTTCTCATTCGCATTCATTCCACAAACACCGGCCAGATCCCAGATCGCAGAACTAACAGCCCGGGGGACGGGGCCTCACTGCAGCCCGGGAGAAGTCAGTTCTGGACCGAGGCAGGAAGGCCTGCCTGTTCTCCAGGAGAGTGACTGGGGGGCACACTTGTGGGGTCTCGAGATGAAAACCCCAACAGATGCAGAAAGGCGCTGAGCCCCCCCCCCCGCTCCCCTCGCACGACAGGGCAGGTCACAAGGGCCTCGGGGGCATGTCCCCGACCTGTTACGTCTGTCATCAAGGTGACTTCGAGCTCCCTCACAAAAGGCCCCCTGGGCCCTTCCTGGCCTCGACGGCGAGGGGCGCAGAAGTTCGCGATGCGCTGGGTTCTCACAGATTCAGAGACGGGGTTGGTTTCTGGGGTGCGGTAAGAGACATCAAGCTGGGTCACGCCTATGAAGGTCAAGGCGAGGCCCGGCCTGGACCCCCGACCCCTCCCGCCTCGGCCCCTCACCTCCTCCCGCGCCAGCGCCGCCCCCCGGCACCGGGGCATCTTGGCGGCAAAGGCGGCGGCCCCGGCCGGGGAGCTGAGGTCCTCGGCGGCGACGGCCAGAAACTCGGCGACGCTGAGCTGCTCGGGCATGGCTGGCGCGGGGCGGGGGCACCGGGGCTGCCGGAGCAGGGAGCGGGGGCGCTGGCTGCACCGCGCTGAGCCGGCCTCACCACCCGCCCCGGGCGCCGTCCAGGCCTCCACGCCCCGCCCCCCCAGCGCGCCCCGCCCCCGACTCCGGAGCCGGGGCCAAGCGCGTCGCGGGGCGTCGGGTAGCTGGGAACTCCACGCCCCTCCGGATCCTCGGCCCCGCCCCCTAGAGCTCTTAGGCCCCGCCCCCTGGCCGCCGGGCCCCGGAGAGCCCCGCCCCGGCCCCTCGCTGGGCTTTGGCCCCGCCCCGAGGCCGCCAGGCCCCGCCCCCAGGCCGCTCGGCCCCGGAGAGCCCCGCCCCGGCCCCTCGCTGGGCTTTGGCCCCGCCCTGAGACCTCCAGGCCCGCCCCCAGGCCGCCCGGCCCCGGAGAGCCCCGCCCCGGCCCTCGCTGCCCTACCCGCGGCCCCCTCTCCGGGCTGGTGGGCCGCACCCCCAGGCTTCGCCGTCTGCAAGCCCCGCCTCCTCCCAAGCGCCCCCAACGCCGACCTCCTTAGTGCCCCGTCCCCGATCGCCGCGTCTCCGAGTGTCCCTTTCCTCCTCGTCTCCTGCCAAGGCGTTCCCGGCCCCACGACCCCGCGCCTTCGGCCTGACTCCTCCCGGCTCCGGTCTCTCCCCCAGCCCCGCAGTCTCGGAGCCTGGACTTCGCCCCGAATCGCCCCAGCTCTCCCCGGTCCCGCGCCCCCTGCTCTCAGCCCGAGTTCTGCGCGCCGTTTGGGCCACCCACCCGGCTCTGCACCCACCCGGGCCCTGCACCCACCCGGGCCCTGCACCCACCCGGCCCTGCACCCACCCGGGCCCTGCACCCGTCCGCTAGCCGCAAGCCCTACTCCGGGGACTGTGTGACGACCCTGTGTGATTTGGGGAAAACTGTATCCCTTCTTGAAACCTTACTTCCCTTATTTGCGAAATGGGAAGTCTGATGTCCAGCTGGTTGTGAGGTTGCTGGGAAAGAACCCGACAGGTGAATGTGCCCGATAGGTGCTCAGTAACTGGCTCCCCCTTACCGGGCCCTGTTACCTTTGCTTGTCTCTTCCAGGGCCCAGTCTGGTGCCTTTCAACCCTGCTCATTCTAAAGACTGCAATCCCTCCCCACCCACTAACTCAGCGTCTTGGGTGGAGGAAGGAGCTGCTTCGGGATAGAAATCCACTTAGGCTTAGTTCTGGAGCATTAGGTGCTCTGGAAGATCCTTTCAGGTGAAAAAATAAATAAATAAAATAACGATAACAAAACAGGGATGCACCACAATAAAGAACATTAGCTTTGGAGTCAGGCCTAAATTTTAGTCTTGGGACTGCTGTTGATCAGCTGTATGCAGCTGGGTAAATTGCTTGCTTCTCTAAGCCTGAATTTCCTCCTCTTAAAATGACCTAATTGTATTTTGCCCCGTAGAGTGATTGAGAGGATTATACAGTTTACACAGAAAAAAAAAAATAATAATACATTGAAATACTACCAGCTGACGATATTATGAGTAATGTTTTTCTTTTGGCAAATCTGTGTATATTCTAACTTTTCAGTAAGGAACATGCACTACTTGTGTAATAGCTTTAAATGTTGAAGAAATATGTCTAATCTGATGGAGGAGACAGGACAAATATGCTGTGAAAACCGGCTCATGACTCCACGCCTCAACCCACTCCTGTTTGTTTTCAACTCTGACTAGTCCAAAGAGTTATTTCAAGGTCACCTACAATCGCCTCTGAAAATGCAACAGGTGCTTTCTTTGCTTGACTCCTAGGAGTGTTTGACACCATTAACCCTCCTTCTTGAAAAGCTCTTTCCCTTGAAATGTGGGACAACCATTTTCTTGGCAGTCTTCCTCCCTCTCTGGTTGCTCCTTCTGGGGGTCCTCCCCTAGATGGACTTCCTCTGCAGCTGTCTTAAATGATGGACTCATGGGCCTCCCTGGTGGTGCAAGGGGTTAAATCTTAGCATTGTGAAGCTATACACGGCCACTGCAGCATGAGTTGGATCCCTGGCCAGGGAGCTGACCCACAGGGCGCAGCAGACCTCTCCTGTCTCGCCCGCTGCTCCCCTCAGCAGTGCATTTCAGTAGATCTGCCTGTTCTGCTCCCCACTCTGTCTCTGGTGAATCCTCTCACCCTCCATACATCTGGCCTACACCCCAGCTCTTGTATGCATAAATAAATAAATCTTTTTTAAAATATGATGGACTCATCGGGCACTCTCTATTAGACCCTCTGCTCTTCTCATTCTACCCACACCTTGATCCAACTCCACCAACTTCCTTTACACCATTAATGTTGATGTCTTCTGTATTAGTTCCTTATTACATTGCTGTATCAAAATTATAGCAAACTCAGAGGCTTAGAATAATACATTTATCCTCTACAGTTCCAGAGGTCAGAATCCTGAAATGAATGTCATTGGGTTGAAATCAAGGTATCAGAGGGGCTGCACTCCCTCCAGAGAGGCTAGGGAACACCTAGTTCCTTACCTTTTCCAACTTCTAGAATTACATTCCTTGCATTATTTGACCTGTGGCCAACTTCCTTCATCTTCAAGGGCATCTAGCTCTGTCTCATATTGCCTTCTTTTCTGTGGTCAAATCTCGGTCTGCCTCGTCTTATAAGAACATATGTAATTACATGTAACACCCACCGAGAAAACCCAGTATAATCTTCCCATCTCAAGATCTATAACTTAATCACCTCTGCAAAATTCCTTTTGCCAAATGAAATACACTTACAGGTTGTAGGGTTAGGACCTAGATATCTTTGGGGACTATTAGTGGGTCTGCCAATCTTCCAAGTCTCTGTCTCCAGCCTCAACCCTTCTCTGGCTTAGATCTATGTACACAAATGTCTATGGGATGTTTTTACTTGGCTGTCTCACAGACAGACACCTCAAATGCCACATGTCCAAAACAGAACTCAATACCTTGTACCCTTCAGTCACTGCCTTTTTGGAAGGCACTACCACGAGTCCCCCCTCTCTCCCCCCACAACCCACCCCCGGCCAATTATCAAGTCTTATCACTACTTCCTAAAGGCCTCACAGAAGAGGCCACCTTCTCCATCTCGAGCTCGACCCCAGTCCAGACCTTACCACCCCTTATGTCCTCTCTGATTTCCTTGACCTTAAATTTCACATACATGATCTGTTGCTCCCCTGATTAGAACTTTTCAGTGGCCCTCATTGCTCTCTGGATAAAAGCCAGATTCTTTTCAAGGCTCTCCAATCCTGTATGATCCCATTGTGTCTGCCATTTACAGACTTTTTTCCCACCATCGCTTCCCCACCAGGTTTTGACCCTCTCTCTAGTCTTCCCTCTGCTTCTGGGACTCCCCCACCTCCTTTCAACTGGTCAAGTTAGATGTCAGCTCCTTCAGGAAGCTTCCCCAATGTCCATCTAGGGGCTCCTACAGGACTGGATGGCCCCCACTCCCCAATAGCACTTCTCACTGTGGCCTGTAAACGCCTGTGCACCAGTCTGGGTCTCTGGTCCACTTATTTATTTGAGCCCTTGCTATCTACCACTCACTCAATGCCCACAGCATGCTAACATTATTCTTTCCATCTTCAAGTTAGAGGTGGGAAACTAAAGTGTAGAGAGGTCAATTTCTGTAAAGTCAGAATAAATAAGTGATGTAAGCAAGATTCCAATCCAGTCTGCATGACTCCAAAGCCATTTTTGTAGTATTTCCTTATTTAATCAGAAAATTATGCTACCTAAATTAGAACAGTGCTTTTTACGAATTAAATACATGTAAAATATTCTTTTTCTCTCCTATAAGTACAACTTGCCACCCAGCAGAGGCAGAATGCTGCGTGATATCTTGTAAGCTAACAAAGTTCTTGCTGTTTTATAAAGCAGCTATGGTACTTCTATATCAAGACCCATATCAGAAACTCACACTAGAACCGTGTCCTCCTGGTGATGGGCACCTTTCAGAAGTGTACATTTTATTTCAAGACTTTTGGGAGAAGATTGAACAACAAATGATAAACTGATATATGAATGTGTATTATTAGCATTATTTGGAAACAGAATCAGCAAAGAACATTATCAGAATAGATTATAAAATTTTCAGGAATTTTAGGAAGAAAAAAACAAACATGGGCCTTCAAGAAAATTTCCAGTTATTTCAAGCTATTTCCCCAGACCACCCTATTGATATTATCATATGGTTTTTATATTTCTTTTTGTTGATGTGTTGGATAACGTTGATTGATTTTCGGATGTTAAACCATCCTTGTGCCCCTGGAATGAATCCAACTTGGTCGTGGTGAATTATCTTATGGATACATTGTTGGATTCTGATAGCTAAAATTTTATTGAGGATTTTTGCATCAGTGTTCATTAGGGAGATTGGCCTATAGTTTTCCTTTTTTGTGTTGTCCTTATTCGGTTTTGGTATTAGTGTAATATTGGCTTCATAGAACGTGTTTGGTATTGTCCCTTCCTTCTCAATTTTTTGGAAGAGTTTGTGAAGGATAGGCACTAATTCGTCTCTGAATGTTTGGTAGAATTCATTTGTAAATCCATCAGGTCCTGGGCTTTTATTTTTGGGGAGGTTTTTGATTACCATTTCGATTTCGCTAATTGTAATTGGTCTGTTTAGGTGTTCTATTTCTTCTTTATCTAGCTTTGGGTGATTGTAGAGTTGTAGGAATTTGTCCATCTCCTCTAGATTGTTGAACTTGTTTCCATATAACTGTTCATAGTAGTTACTGATTATTCTTTTGATTTCTGCTGTGTCCGTTGTGATTTCTCCTCTTTCATTTATGATCCTGTGTATTTGTGCTTTCTCCCTTTTTTCCTTTGTGAGCCTGGCTAGGGGTTTGCCCAGACCACCCTATATAGACATTTACTTGACTGGGGCTATTTCAAGGGAAGCGTTTGAGGCAGACTATTTATGAAATAGCTGTTTCCAGATCCCTGAACTACCCAGAACAAATTGGGCTGCCTGAAATTCC